TTCTTGGGGAGGAACCAAAGTCAAACATGTTTCATTGCATGTGATCTTGAGTTGCTTTTAACAAGCAAATGCCAAATGTCTAAGACTGGTTGTACTCGTGTTGTAATTTTCCAAATAACAGTGTCCCTAAAGGCCACTTCCTATCCAGATCTTCCCAGTAAATGAGGCAAGCAATTCTAAGATCCCCCACAGACATCCAGCCATCTAGATGTCCACTGATCTCCACTGAGAGATGGATCCTTCCACCTACGCAAAGAAGCCAGCTCTGAGGGTGGCCGGGTGTGCGGCTCAGGACTGCAGGGTGTCTCCTGGCTGAAATCTCAGTTCTCAGTGTGCAAAACCCGGCATCAGATATCTGTGTAAGGAAAGTGGCATCCACCCAATCCCTCCCCCCCCCAAAAAAAAACCCCAAAATCCAATGGATAATGCTGGCCATATTTTGCCTTTCTGACATTTCCTTGGGAATCTACAGGAACTTCCCCTTCCCCTCCCCCATAAGACCTTTGAAGAGTGTGTTAAACCACAGAATCCGAAATAAAATGTTTGGCCCCAACCAAAACCAACCAACCAACCCAAACTGAAAACTCTTGCTCAATAAACAATAATTCTTCAGTGTTCTCTCCCCTCAGCCCTGATGATGGCTGCCCTTTGACTTTTTGCCTCTATGACCGTAGCTACAGAAACCTCATTTTAGTGGGATCATACGGTATGTGTCTTTTGTGACTGGCTTGTCCCGCTAAGCATCATGTCCTCAAGGTACATCCTCATTGCAGCATGTGCCACAATTCCCTTCCTTCTCAAGGTTGGATAATACTCCACTGTGTGTATTCGCCCCACTGTGGTTTACCATTCATCCATTGGTATACATCTGGGCTGCTTCTACCTTTTTGCTACTATAAATAACACTTGTATGGACACAAATGCACAAATATCTCTGAGACTGATTTCAATTCTTTTGGGTATGTATCCAGAAGTAGAATTGCTGGGTCACACAGTCATTCTATCTTTAACTGGGGGTGAGGAAACTGCGTACTGCTTTCCACAGTGGTGCGCCATCTTACATTCTTACCGACAGCACACATGGGTTCCATTTGCTCCATAGCTTCACCAACATCTCTTCTTTTTTTTTTTTGTTGGTACTGGGGATTGAACCCAGGGGCAGTGGACCACTGAGCCCCATCCCCAGCCCTATTTTGTATTTTATTTAGAGACAGGGTCTCACTGAGTTGCTTAGGGCCTTGCCTTTGCTGAGGCTGGCTTTGAACTCATGATCCTCCTGCTTCCGCCTCCCAAGCTACTGGGATTAAAGGCATGTGCTACTCCACCCAGCTGATTTGTTATTTTCTTTTTCATTTATAGTAGCTGTCTTCGTGGGTGTGACGTGTAGAGGAATTTTTACTTGGCATAACTTGGGTGGAGGGTGCTCCTGGCGTGTAGTGGGCAGAGGCTGATGATGTTAGCACTCTTCAATCTACGACACCCAGGACAAGCCTCTGCAACCAAGACTGAAGTGCCCCAAATGCAGATGGTGCCAAGACTGAGAAACTCGGATTTAAGCCAGGTGCTGTGGTGCTCGCCTATAATCCCAGCAACTTGGGAGGTTGAGATAGGAGGATCATGAGTTCAAAGCCAGCCTCAGCAAAAGCAAGGCCCTAAGCAACTCAGTGAGACCCTGTCTCTAAATAAAATATAAAATAGGGCTGGGGATGGAGCTCAGTGGTTGAACGCCCTGAGTTCAATCCCTGGTACCCCCCCACACACACCAAAGGGGAAAAAAAAACCCTCAGATTTAAACAATCAGGTCCATCTTTCATAGTAAGTCTCCTGCTGACACATGTGGCCTTTCTCTTTTTATTGAGATGCTTGAAGGCCAAGACCACTTGAAAAATCTGCCAAGTGAGGAAGGATCGAGAAAGAGGGCAACACTTCTTTTATTCAAATTTTATTGGAAGTTTACAAATGTATTACAGACATCAGTAAAACATCATATCCATGGTACAGGGCACGGATCTCGAGCAAAGTGTTCAGAACAGTCTCTGGCAGAGCCCACACCCAAGGCCCGTGGTGGGCCTTCTTGACAAACAGCGTGACGCTCAACACATAACAGACTCTGGCCTGCCTCACCTCCTCAGGCCCTTTGAGGTTGTTTACGCATGGGAAATTAAAGCAGGAGATGGGCAGAGCCATCCTGTGCAGGAAGAGATGAGTGTAGGCAAGGAAATCCTGACCAAGTCCTGATTTACTAGAGAAAATGGAGGATTCATGTTTTTGTTTGTTACTGGGGATTGAACCCAGGGGCACTTAACCACTGAGCCCACCCACAGCCCCTTTTTTTATATTTTATTTAGAGACAGGGTCTCACTGAGTTGCTGAGGGCCTCGCTAAGTTCCTGAGGTTGGCTTTGAACTTGCGATCCTCCTGCCTCAGCCTCCCAACTTCAGAATGTTAAGTCAGGGTCCGTGAGAGAATCAGAATATTTAATGGGAAAATATGGAAATCAGGTTAGATAGGCTTGAGCACAGACTTTCTTGTAAGTAACAGAGTCTCTGAAAATTTTAGAAAAACTTGATCAGCAACCTGTTGAACAGGAGTGGCCAAAGGTCTAGTCAGGTAAAGGGATGTCTCAGAAAACTCTCAGGATAGAGCAAGACAATTATTTTTCTCCCCTACCCAAGGGATTCATCATATCTAAATCACAGAAATGTCTCCTAACACGATGTGACTTTCCCCCCTGCTTTTTATTCTCTTAAAGAAAGCCAGTTTGGTCAGCAGGAAGTGAGCTTGTAAAATGGTCTATCTCCCAACGGTGTGTCACGATTTATGAGGGTTGTCAACGGGCTACTCGGTTGGAAGAAGGGGAAAAGAATCCCATCCTTTGGGGATTTTAACTTTGATGAGGACTTCCAGGTGGACACCTGGTCACTCTGGTGGCTGCTGAGGCCCCAGAGGATCCGACCCACTGGACATGAGGCCAAGGATCTTTCTACTTCCACTTCTCTTGTGCTTAAAGAAATGCACCTCAAATGTAGCTACCTGCAAATGCCATCAAAATCAGCAGGGGGGACTTAGGACACATGTCTGCAGGCTCCATCCTGAAGCCTTCCTGAAGGTGCCGGACAGTTGCTAGCAGCAACTGTTCTTGCATGAAATATCCAGATAACTGGCTCCACCTTCCACTTTCCTGGGCCATAGAAGGATCGAGCCCTCAGCATCTGGTTTCTGTTAGAAATACACAGAGAGAGCACTTATCCTTGGAATTTAAATATTTGTTCTCTTTCTTGTCAGAAGATGGGATCAGAAAAAAGAATAAGAAGGACTCTTACTGGACCCCTGTAAAATGAGCAGAAGGCTCTAATTGGTAAGGAACATGGGCCTGCAAAAGGAGGCCAGAGAGATCTGTCTTTGTTTGGCCTAAGAGGCCAGCTTCCTTTAGCCTCCACAATCTGGCGGACAGAGGAAATGCAATCTCCCAATTAGTTCTGACTGCTGCTTCTTTAATGTCAGGTATCCCATGGCAAGAGAGCCCAGGGCAGAAAGACAGATAAGAATCTGAGGTTGGTTTTGAACTTGCGATCCTCCTGCCTCAGCCTCCCAACTTCAGTTCATAAATATCTATTATCAAAGGACATCAGTTTTAATCAGTGGGTCCTCTGGCTGGTTGTTGAGGCTGTATCCACATTTCCTGGGAAAGCATAGAGTAACACATTGCTTACATCTGCTCAGGTTGCAGGGCAGGCAAAGCAGGTGTCTGTCGTGTGTGTGTGTGTGTGTGTGTATCATGGATTCAATGGCCAGCAGAACCCAAGAAGCAGACAGCAGGTGCAAGAAAAGAATCACAATCTTGCTACTGTACAGAAGATGGGAAAGGGCTCCCTCCTAGGCTCACACTGGGAAAACCCATCTGCTTCTTCCCTTAGCTGGCTGGACTAGGAAGGAAGGGTTAGAGAACAAAAGGGCAAGGTGGAGAGATGGCATCAATAACCAACCCCAGGAATTCTCCCTTGGATGTGTGCAAAATCAGGAAGTGTGGTCTGATTTCCCTAACGTCCTTCACCTTCATGCTTGGAAGAGATCCCAGAACTCTATGACAGAAGGAAGACTCCCGAATGCTATGCTCAAAGCCACCAGGTTGGCAAGAAGTCTTTTCACAGTTACAAAGGTCAGGTGTGCCTTGGCAGGACCGTGAAGGAACTGCAACTCAGTGACGTTCACTTCTTGGACCTGGAAAAAGAGCCAGTTCTGTGGCTGGATTTAGCAGCAGTAGGAAAGGGCTTGACCTCCAAAGTTGCAGTGTCCAAACGACAAGCCCAGTATTAGGAGAGGTAGTGGGGGGCAGGGGAAGAAAGCAACCAAGGCATCAGGGAGGAGAGCAAGCTGGGAAAAGCTTCCTCTTCTGAAAACCAGTCTATAGAAGATAAATGACCTTCTAAGAGGTGAGCACGGGCCCCACCCACCAGAGGAATGTAACCAGTAAGAGCTGATGGTTATGATGGCGGACTCAGAGGAGAACCCCGAATTCTTGCTCAGGGAAAGAATTCACAGAAGTTTGGGGAGTGAGATTCTGGGATGTTAACATGTAAGTTATCACTTATGGGTGGAAGTCCCAATGTGATGTCACCATCATGGTGAGGAACTGCTTCCTCCACTGACATTCCCTGACGGCGCCTGGCTGTGTTTAGCGTGGGAGGAAATCTGGAGTGGTGGAATTTATGGAGGTGATCTTGCTAGTAGACTTTGACCTTGACGCCTGAGTCTCATAATACATTAAGCTCTGGCCAGTGTGATCCCTAGATGAACTCGTGGTTCACCTCTCGGTGCCTTTGGGTACTGATTAGACGTCAGTTTCTCGGCCACCTTCTTCTTTGTGCAGATGGTGGTTAAAGCCTTTTTTTTGGGAAATGTAAGAGCTACCGCATTTACGGGAAGATTTCTTTCATGGGAATTGGGGCCACAGAGCACAGATATATTTTTGAACATTTGCTAAGTTATAAGTTAAGTGATCTGCTTTTCCTCTCTTCTTTTTATTTTCCCCCCAACAAATGCATTTTTATTCTGATCAATCAAGGAACTCCAAACTCCAAATGGGACTCACCCAATTTCTACCAGAAACCTACCACTTTAAGTAGTGTGGTATTGTACATTATTTCTTAATCAGTTTGCCAAGCAGTTTACAAACTTACTATACAAACGTTAATAGAGTTAATTCTCCAGAGGCTCGGATAATTAATGAAGCATTTAGATATGAAGATAGCATGCGGAAAAACAGCCACAACCAACATTTGCATTGCTCTTTTTTAAAAAAATCAGTGACAATGACAAATGTCTTATTAATACCTGAAAAGCAAATTATTTTTTAATCCATCCTGAATGGACTGCCATGACCACGCCCTTTACAGCCTTCCTTCCCCACCACCCCAGACCCACGTGGGATGGTGTCTGAGAAGCCATGGTGGTTCACATTCTCTCCATTAAAAATATTAGAAAATGTTAACTACGACAGCAAAGAGACCACCACGCTCACGTCACCATGGCAGATGGCCATGGAGACACACACACCAGGTACTAAATGGACAGTACGTCTCAGTAAAGGTGGGTCCTCCAATGGGTCACTTTGATGGCCACAATCCACTGAGTGGAGGAGAATGGACGAAAGAGCAAAAGTGCTTCATTTTTAACTGAAGCAAGGCAGGAAGTTTTATTTTACTATATAAACAGCACAACCGTGAAATGTCTTCTTGAAGCAAACTTACTTCTGAGCCCACTTTCTGTCTGACCCACAGCCCTCCAAGTTCAAAATGGGAATCTCTCTTTCAACAAAGTCTGTTTTTTTTCCCCCCCCAAGTCATGACCCTGAAATCTCAGCAGCTGGACCTTCCTGGGGAACTCAGGTTACTACGCTTGGGAACCAGCTTCTCTCTGCAAGCACAAGGGGACTGTTCCTCCATTTCCTCTGCGGAAGTCCTTCTTTCATATACTTACTTCTTCTTCCCCTCCTACCTTAACCTTGACCTTGACCTTCCTGTCCTCAAACAGCTTTGTTCCTTCCTCCAGCATAACATCCAACACACCCTGGCTCCCAGAGCCCCTCAGAACCATCCCATCCCTCGAATCTAAACGCTTAAGTTTAAGTTCATTTGCTCTGAGGACAACCGGTTGTCAGGCGATGGCAGCAGCTCTGTCTGCCTTGGGAAAGGAAAGCAGATACAACGATCCAGGAAACAGGAGCACCAGAAAAATAATGCCACATTCAGAACAATGTCATGCTGACAGCACACAACGGCACCACCACTCACGGTCACTTTAATTTTTCCCGAGGGATAGATCAATATTAAGCAACTTCAATGTTCCCGGGTAAGGGATGGCATTTCTCACGCAACTTGACTGACACTGGTTGATTAAATCGGCAAAAGTTACATTTGCAATTAAGAAAAAAAAATTACTATCACTTTGTAGAGAACAAATCCTACCAAGGTTGGGAGCGGGCTTAAGGATGGCTCCTTAAGATGAAATGGAGCATAAAATACTTTGGGTAAAATTTTTTTTTTCAGCCACAAAAAGCCAGATTGAATACACTCCTTTGAAAAAAGGTCTCACTGACATATAACAAATTTGTATAGGAAAAAAAAAAAAGGGGGTGGTCCTGGGCCACCTTGTAATACTACTCAAAGACAAGGCCAGATGAGCATGCAAAGACCCCACGGAGTCCTACCATATAGAAATTCCTTTGATATTACAAAATACAAAAATATTTTATCAGAACTCTCATTTACAATGCATTTACAATGGACATGTAAATAACTTAGTCTTGGGTCTTGGCTAATAAACAAATTACTTACTGAAAAAGAAAAAAAGGGGGGGGGGGAGTCCTAAAAGTAAGAGTACCAGAGAGGAAATAAGCGAGCAGGAAAGGGTTTGTCACCTCGTAAGCAGCCACTGAACACATGACTGATGGGAAAGGGCCTCCATAGACTCTACTGTGTTTCCAACGTGAAATGGGCACATGATATTCAACATGCTAAGAACTGTGACTACCTATTGAGTCCATCTGTAACCTTGCCTCCAGCTGAGAACGCTCCCTTTTTCTCCCCCCACGAACCACCCCCACCCCCAAAGCGCTTTAAAATCGAAAACAGTGCAAGTTTCTGAATGTACATTCTTGGTTCCCATCGCCCCCGTTCCCTCCGACCCCCATCCTATTACGAAATGATACAGTTTTTGCTCTTCTGTCTTTTCCTGCTATGCAGCTGTCCTCTGCCCCCCAACGTGGAGGAGGATTTGGGGACGCCGCCGTAGGAGCTGTATTTGTGCAGCAGCTCGTCACTGGTGACATACCGCAGGCGGGCTGGCTGGGGGATGGGTTCTCCTAGGAAGTAGCCCTCGTTGTCAGACTCGGAGGATGAGGAGCAGGTGGAACACCAGTCGTACTCGGTGAAGTAGGGTCCCCAGCGCTCCCCAAACGCATTCTGCAAAGCCAGGTCCGAGACAGTCCTCGGGCACTGGCCGTACAGGTCCCTCCGGGGCCCCTGCCCCAGGCTCTCCTGGAAGCTCCGCTGGCGCACGAACTGGTCGTAGTCCTCGCGGGCTCTCAGGGAGGGCCTTTCTTTCAATCGCGACATGGCCTCGCGGTCGCTGGCCAGGTGGAGGGCGTTGTCCGAGCGGGAGCGGCGGGATCGCCGGGAGCGGTGGGGACGGAAGCGCCGGTGGTCGTCGCGCGGGGTAGTCCTCCTGCGGGTGCGTTCGCTCAGGGGCTGCGCCCGCACCGCGTCCTGGCCCGCCAGCTTGCTGCCCGCGAGGCCGCCATCGAAGTCGAAGCTCTGGTGCATCCTCCCGTGGGACTGCAGGTCTCGGTACCCGATGGGGTTGCCGAGCTGGTGGAGGCTGCCCTCCATCTCCTGGTACTGCTGGGCGGACAGCAGGCTGCGCACCGACTCTGCGCTGCGGAACTGCATGGACGAGTTGAGCGTGCCCATGTTGCTCAGCTTCTCCGACACGTTCATGCCCGAGTCCTTGCTGAGGTCGGGCATGGAAAACCGGGACAGGTGCTCCTGGCGTTTGGCGCCACCTTCGGCAGAGAGGCCTGGCGGGGACAGAGCAGAGGACCGCGGGGTTAGTACAAGTGGGCGGCAATGGGGGCCGACTGGCACTGTCACTGCCAGGGCACAGAGGACGCAGGGGGGATCTTGGGCCCTGGGCGCCTAGAGAGGATGCGCGCTTAAAACGCAAGACTAGTTGCTAATTACGTTGCTAATTCCTCCCCATCTGTTATTAAGAGCCCATTGTATATTGAACTCAGGGGGCACTTAACCACTGAGCTACATCCCCAACACCCCCACCCCATTTTTTTTTTTTTTGGTATTTTATTAAGAGATAGGGTCTCACTAATTTGCTGAGGTTGGCTTTGAACTCACGATCCTCCTGCCTCAGCCTCCCCAGCAGCTGGGATGACAGGTGTGAGCCACTGGGCCTGGCCCACTGTGTATCTTATGTGTGATGTTTCCTGTTTCCAATTTCACTCTATAAAGCACTTCAATGAACTCTTCTAGTGATAGTTCCATAAGATATTTTGGATAAAGAAACTAAGCTACGGAAACCGGGCCAGACCCAAGTTGTTCTGGATAATGCCCAGCCTAGAATCCAGTTCCATGATACCGGACCAGTTCACTTCTTTCTTAGTGCGCCTGCTGTCCCTAAGTAGCAGGTAACCTCTGTCTCAAATGCACTGGACATTAAGTGACTCTGTAGTGTAGATAAAGAGATGTTTCCTCTCTTAGCCTGCTCAGTAAATTACTACTCCAGGGTGATAATGGGTCCCTAGGAGTCAGAAGATATGAGTGGGACCCTGGGACATCTTTCTATCACTGGGGGGAGGCACTTTGCAGTGACAATAATCACTAAGAGCAGGTACTCCAAACAGTGGGCCTCTATATCCCAAGTGCTGTCACATGAGCTTCTGGCAGCCCTGAGATGAAGACCTGGGAATCACACCCAGAAGGACATGGCCCAGATGAACGTAGCTTCCTTTCAAACGGCACAGACATAAGTTGTGTGTGTGTGCACGTGTGCATTGGAACACAAAAGAACAAAGAAGTTATCTCAAGAAGAAGAGTATATTCTATCAAATGTTGTATTTTCTATCTTTTAAAAAATCTATTATTCACTGGGATGTTGAACAAGAAGTTAACAGGTGAAGTTAGGTAAAGAGTATAACATGGGCAGTGTTTGTTCTTTTTGCAACTCTTCAATGAATGTGAGGTTATTTCTTTAAAATTATAGTGTCTTCATTGACCCCTCTATCCCACTTCTCAGCATATACCCAAAGGACTTAAAATCAATGCACTACAGTGACACAGCCACATCAATGTTGACGCAGTTCAGTTCACAATAGCTAAGCTATGGAACCAACCTAGGTGCCCTTCAACAGATGAATGGATAAGGAAAATGTGGTACATATACACTTTGGAATATTACTCAGCCTTACAGAAGTATGAATTTATGGCATTTGCTGGTAAATGGATGGAACTGGAGACTATCATGCTAAGTGAAATAAGCCAGTCCCAAAAAACCGAAGGCCCAATATTCTCTCTGATGTGTGGATGCTGACTCACAATAAAGGGGTGGGGGAGGGAAGAACAGAAGCTCACTGGATGAGATAAAGGGGAATGAAGGGAAGGGAGGGGGATGGGAAAAGGAAAGACAGTGGAGTGAATGGGACAGAACTTTCCTCTGTTCATATATGAACACACGACCAGGGAAACTCCACATCATGGCCAGCCACAAGAATGGGAAGCTATCTATACTCCATGTGTACATAGTATTCAACATACAGTTTACTGTCGTGTGTATCTAAAAGGAATAAATAAAAATAAATAAATCAAAAGGTAACAGTGTATCCATATGATGTAATTGTTTTAAATCTAGATAAAATTGGGAATTATCTGGAGAGACCTTGATATGATGGACTCCCACAGAACAATGAGAATGGGCTATTGCACCCAGCAACATGGATGCATTTCACAGAAAATGTAGAGGTCACAGGAAGAGTGTATGCTATGCTTCTCATCTATTAGAAGCTTAAGAACAAGTAAAAGCTGTCCATGGGGAAAGAAGTGAGGGAGAGGAGACACCAAGGAAGCTTCTAGAACACTAGAATTGTTCTAGAGCTAGACCTGGAGGAAACAGAAGGATGGAAGTGTAAGACTACACTACACTAAGGTATAGTCTTGTTTGTCTGCTTCATTTTATGAAAGTTACACATCAACAAAATAGTATAAAAATAAAGCCATGTTTGTGAGAGTCGATTTTTCAATTTTGGATTTGCACCTGGAGAAACCTCAGTGGTCCCTCTGTATGCAGGATATCCTTGGATACCAAAGTTCCTTGTATAAAAGGAAATAGCATTTGCATATGACCTGTTATGGTTTGGATGTGAGGTGGACCCCAAAGGCTCATGTGTGAGACAGTGCAAGAAGGTTCAGAGGAGACATGACTGGGTTGTGAGAGCCTTAACCCAACCAGTGAATGGACCCCTGATGGGATTAACTGGGTGGTGGCTGGAGGCAGGTGGGTGTGGCTGGAGGAGGGGGCATTGGGGGCGTGGCTTTGGGGTCTCTATTTGTCTCTGGAGAGTGGAGTCTCTCTCTGCTTCCTGATCACCATGTGAGCTGCTTCCCTCCACCACACTCTTCCTCCATGATGTCCTGCCTCCCCTGGAGCCCTGAGGAATGGAGCCTGCTGTCTATGGACTGAGATCTAGGAAATAGTGAGTCCTGAAATAAACTTTTCCTCCCCTTCAATTGTTCTTTTTGTGTCTTTTCGTCACAGCAGTGAAAAAGCTGACTAAAACATAACCCGTGCTCATCTCCCCCCCTACATTATTTATAATTGTAAATGTCCTGTAAGTAATTGTCTTGTTGTGTTATGTAGAAAATAATGGCAAGAAAAAAGGGCATGCATTTTCCATACAGATACAAACAGTGTAGGCCTGGTGACATTTTAAATCCAGGGCTGGCTGAACCCAAAAATATGAAACCTACACAGAGGGCTGACTGTATTCTACCAAAATGGTGTATTTTCTAGTAATTTCTATATTTTTGGTTTTTTGGTACCAGGATTCTTGAACCCATGGGTGCTTAACCACTGAGCCACATCCGCAGCCCTTTCTTACATTTTATTTAGAGACAGGGTCTCACTGAATTCGGAGGCTGGCTGTGAACTCGAGATCTTCCTGACTGAGCCTCCCTAACCCCTAGGATTACAGGTGTGCACCATGGCTCCTGGTGATTTCTATTTTTTTTTTAATTCATTATTCACTGGGTAATTGTCAGGGCAAGAGGAGTTAGGTCCTCCAGTCCTGCTTTCTTGCTGCTTATTTCTGACCTATACATCCTAAGAGCTGATTTGCAACCACCTAATCACTTCCAGAGCCTCCCTGATCTGGAGGTGGAGAGGAGGGGGTGTCATGCTAAGACGATGAACAGTCCGAACTGATGAACTCTAGTAAGGAAGGAAGAAAGCCAGGCAGGGTGGTGCACACCTGTGATCCCAGCAGCTCGGGAGGCTGAGGCAGGAGGATCACCAAGTTCAAGGGCAGCCTCAGCAACTCAGCGAGACCCTAAGCAATTCACTGAGCCCTGTCTCTAAATAAAATATCAAAAGGGCTGGGGATGGGGCTCAGTGGTTAAGCACCCCTGGGTGCAATCCCTGCTACCAAAAAGAAAAAGAAAAAATCTTCCAAATCACATTAAGAAACAAAAGCTATCCCGGTAGGCACCACGATCCCAGCAGGGATTTCTACCCAAGAGTAGAATTAGGGTTAGTCTCAACATCCTAACAAATACTCTCAATTCCCAAACATGCTGTTTTCCTGAACCTGTCTTTTTTATGAGCCCTGCAGTGAAACCTGAGAACATTCTGCCTGTGAACAGATTCCTAAACCACACAGCAGCGGTAAACATGAAGAAGATCGGGTTCCATTCTGCTGGGGGTGGGGCAGTGATACACACTCTGATTATGCTCCTGCCTCCTGGAAACCCCTGGCCACCAGGGAAAAGGAAAGTATTCTGGCAAGAGCAAGAGGGCTCCTTGCTCCAATCCAGAATCTCCTGCCAGTATTACCTAAACCTAAGCTACTCCCCTGGGGGGCCTGTGGACGGGATCTCAATTGGGAGAGAAGTGTCTCCTCTGATTCATTCACTAACATGTTCCTCCAGGGGCTTCTGCAAGCAGGCACATGAACAGAAAAGGCTAATCTTGCCCAAAGATGAGCAATATGTATGTACTTGCCTCTGGAAAGGGTGGTTCTGTGGTTCATTTCATTATTGGCAAGATGCGGAGTCTTTCTGCAGAACTCAAGACCCTACGTGACTTGGCTCCCTTAGGCTCAGCAACGTCACCGGCTCAACAGGCCCCCTTACTCTGCTTCAACCCACAGTCCTCTCCCACCTCCTGCTGCAACACACCCACAGCACACTCCTCCCCCCTCCACCCTCGCCCCCCCCCCCGCCCGCAAACTCTCCCCTCTGCATAGCTGACTTCCGTTTGTAAGTCCTCCCCATAAATGGCACCTTCTCAGTGATGCCCACCCTGATCACTCTTTGCAAAGTAGCACAGTCAGTTAGCCACCCACCCCACCAGCCGGCCACTCTTGGGTACACTTGACTTTAAGGGATTTATGCCCCGCTGACTCATTAGGTGTATGTGTGTTTGAGGCTAAATGGATCCACGTGGAAGCCGGGGTCTTGTCCCCTGTTCTCTGCACTTTCACAGAACTAGCATATTTGTGGCATAAAGGCAAACAGATTCTCTTGCTGCCAACAGATTAGACAAAGACATCACTCTCTGACCTGGAGTGGGCCCGGGGTTGTAATTCAGATGAGCAGGAATCTAAACCTCAGGAACAATGATTGCACTTGTTAGTCTCATTGTCTCTGGCTGACCATTATATAGCTCACTTTGGGGGCTCTTCCAGTTCTAAAGTCAAAGAAAGTGTGATTTGGTGGTGGTGGGGGTACTGGGGATTGAACTCAGGGGCACTCAACCACTGATCCACATCCCCAGCCCTCTTTTGTATTTTATTTA